ACTATGTCGGGCAACTCCCAAACGATTTTTCCACACTGAGCAACAATTTTTTACATAACTATATGGATACATACATACAAATATATTGTATTTTTATCTGCATATGTATTTGAGTATTTACTTGCATCTATTTATTTATTTATTGGTTGTTTGTTGTTTGTTGTCTGCTGTGTTTGCCGGCGTTTTTGCCATAAATATTAATCCGAGTCAAATTCAGATGATTTAAGTGTTTTTGATGTGCCACTTTGTGTCTGTCTGTGCTGTCTGTAAACCATGCCTCGCCACGCCTCGCTCTACAGCAGCCTTTTTCAAGTGGGTTTATTGTAGAATTTTCAGCTTTCCTACTCTGTTTCAACCTGATATTTTCTGCTTGTTTGCTTTTGGTATTTTCATTTAATGCATATTTTATTTATAATGACAGTTCTTTTTCTCTTTGGGAGTTTTGAATTCGGGGCGCGCGGAAAGCCGATTAAAATGTTTTTGATTTATGCATTACTCGTATTAAGATTTGAATTTTCGAATTTTTAATTAATAAATCTTGTTATTTATGTCAAATAGAATTTTGAGCTAAATAATCTAAGTTTTTTGCTGCTTTTTTCCGTGCCGATTTGGTAGTATTGGAGTTTCAAAGATAGAAATTTTTCTCCATAGGTGTCGCTGAAGTCGAGATATACAGAAAATCACATCATCTGACTTGGAGTATTAGTATAAGCACCTACAAAAATATAAATTTTAATTTTTACTTCTTTGTACTGTGTAGGAAATTGATTTTTAAATTCCACTCCCAACGAACAGAGACCCAGACCCAACTCTACTTATTAGCGACGAATGCTGCAGACAAAAAAAATATAACAGACTAAATAAAGCGGGAAACAGCAAAAACTTTCAATGATATCTTTCTCTAATCAAGGCTGCAATTGTCTCATGTAATTCAATACCTCCTTCAGCCAACTGAATCGCCTATGGGAAGTTGGTGGCTCAGTTGCTCAATCAGTTCCTTGTGGTTTTGAAAAGTGGATCGATGAGCTCTGAATAAGTTTTCTCAAATAATCTGATTTTTTGCTTTAGTAGTTAACTTTTTGTGCAGCCGTTAGGGCTTGTTTTCAGGGTTTTCTCTTTAAAAAATATCAGAAATATATTTTCAATGTTGTTAAAAATCAAGAAAATCCCCCGAAAATTGACTGAAATACTTTAATTATAAATTTTAGCTCAATTTCAAAAGCGAATAGGTATTTCTGGACATGAGTGGAGCAAACCAACATCTACCAACAACCAAAATTAATTTTTCTTATTCCGGCAGCGCGGTAGCCGAGTGGTTAGCATTGCGTGCTGACATTCGGAAAGCTTGGGTTCATATCCCGATGCCACCAACATCCAAAAATTATGGAAAATTAATTTAGATAAAAAATTAAGTTAAATTTTCTAATGGCGGTCGTCCCTCGGCAGGGAATGTCAACCCCTCCGAGTGTACTTCTAACAAGATATAAAGCTCCTCAGCCGTTCGGAGGCGACTTGGTATAAACTATAAATCCCTTCTTTTGTTGAAAAAACATCAAGAGGCAAAACCACAAATTGGAGTAGGCCGTAAAATCGCTTCAGCGGTTACAAAGCGCCAATTATATGTAATTATCGACAGGGCATGTCAAGCCCTCCGAGGATCTCAGTGTAGTTTTGAACACCAAATTATCTGATAGGGGGGTTCGCTAACCCCGCTTAGGAATAGGTTTGATCAATCTAAGGCGCCGAGGTCATCTAGTGGGAGGTCCTGGAAGAGTGCCGTTTCGTCGGGCTGGGACCAAAGGGAGAGGGGTGTTAGATGAGTCGGTTTAAGGGGGCATGTGAAGAGGTGGTTAGTGTCGTGCAGAGACCCTCCGCATCCATTGCATACGTTGGATATGCTACGGTCGAGTCTGGAAAAGTAAGAATTAACCTACTGCATTATCCAGACCTAAGTTGTGCCAAGGTCATGCGGGTCTCTCGAGACAGCTCGAGCTCGTTGTCTGCAATGGGTTGTGGTTTTACTCCGAGCATGCCATTCACCGGATAGGAGTCTTTGAAGTTTTTGACTGACTCCTGGTGAATGGCGTTCAGTGCCGTCCTGTCCAGCGATTGTTGTAAGTATTGCTGGATGGTGTTTTTCAAATCGAGTACTCCCATCTAGATGCCCAATCAGTACAGGGAATACTAAAAACGAAATACAAAAAAATTTCCGAAAAGAACTGGAAGACAGATAAGGGGGAGATGGAAAACTACTCAAGCGCTCGTGACCACCGGTCTCCGAGAAACTACTCACGAGGAACTGGATGAAGGAAATGTTGAGCAAATATATCCAACATCTGAATTTAATCAGATTGAAGATCACTCAAAGGGTATCAACTGAAACACGATTTCTCTTTTTTACTTTCGAAGATCCTGATCCTGCCATCAGTTTTACTGCCAACGCAGAAGCATTTTTTCCGATCGGCCACCAGAAATGACGTGCCATTGGTGGAGTTATAAATATTTTTCTTTGAAAATAACAGAAATTCTCTCTCGGCAAGGTATACAACCTTTAAGACAGTAAATAGTTTGAATAACTTTTTTTTTCATATAAAGAAAGTTGTTGAAATCTGAGACCTTTTTTCGACGACTAAACTTATCTAAAGCCAAGATGATGTGCATTCGAAGAAAAACACAGCCAATTTTTGCACACGCAGCCTCGAAAGGACTGCTGGTGTTAAGCCTGCTGACCACACCCAACCTGCTGGCATCACATGCGTACGTAATTGACGTTGATAAAGTGGCACAGGAAAGAAGACATAAGTAAGACGCTGGAACACCTTCTCTGCCTCTGTCTGGCCTTCTCTAAAATATTTCAATTAAAGTGAAATGCTGAAACCTTGCAGTTATAAGCCACCTTCGAATGGCTGTTGAATTCTCAAGATAAGCTATTATTTTATGTTATCGCCCGAAGATTGCTACAGTGGCTAAAAAGAGCTTATTATATATTACTATTATTTAATGTTCCACTCTCAGCACTGAAATTTCATAAGAAACACTTTTTGGATTGTTACCAATCCAATACTTGGAAACCATGATCCTGCGGCACATAGCAGACACTCAAAAGACCGGACACTTGAGCCTGTAGTTCGTGAAGAGCTCATGCCATAAAACTTCTTCTTCACTGGCTTGAGCTCCGATCCCTTACTGATAATTAAGAAGCAGGTATCTGTTACTTTTTATCCACTCACAAGGATTTTCGAAAAATTTCCTTAATATTTTTTTTTTTTTTGGTATAAAAGTTTCTTACGGCAGGTTTTTTGTGAAATAAATGATGTTACTGTTAATTTGCTCCGTAGAGTTACCACGCCAAAATTTATGAACCATAACTGGCAGAGTGATCTTAGCGAAGCTTTTTTTTGACAAGTGGAATGTTGGGCAAGACGTGGGATGCGCTACACTTTCAGTGTTAAGGCAGTAGTCCCCTTTGAAACCCTAATGCCGAATTTTTTTAAGGGGAAGGAAATTATTGCCAAAGGCAGGTTTCAGTTATTAATGTAGTATATCTTAAGCTTTAAAAATATACCTTTTTGTACCAAAAAATATGGGCATTCCCCAATGTTGTGATGAGTTTTCTGTAGCGGCTGCAGTCTGAGCTCGTGAAACAGTGGCGGTGCTGGAAGTTGTGTGATGCATCTGAAACAGTCGAACCAATTTCTTTTTTTAATTTTCATCAGTATGGTTTTTTATAATAAACTAAAAAAATACCGAGGAAGTTGAAAAGTTCAAAATTTTTTCGAAGTTCGGAAAAAAGTAAAAATTTAATTTGCAAAAAAAATTTTGTAAAAATATTGCTTTTGTCCAACTTTTTTAGTACCAACAGAAGATAATTTAATTTATGGCGGCCGCGGTAGCCGAGTGTTAGCATTGCGTACTGCCAAGCGGAAGACTCGAGTTCAAATCCTGTTGTCGTACTGACATCTAAAAATTTATAGAAAAATGTCAATTATATATAGAAGATAATTTAATGCTGAAGTTAGATCACTTTGGTTTTTTTCGATCGCTCATATATTCTGACCTGCAACGTTTTCTAAGACTTGCAAAATTGAAAACTCTCGAAAATGCACTTCAAAGTTCAGTCTGATATTTCAAACCTACTCGACGTTCGACCATCAAAACTGCTCTAGCTTCTAAAGATGTCGAATTGGGCACTGAAATTTTGAAGGCATAATCTTATATCGTTTGAGAATAGATTTTAGAAAAAAAGTGCATTTTTAGTCTTTAGTCTTTAGACAATTTTTGAAGTTTATCGCCTCCCCAAAGAACGAATTAAAGAGTTTTCAGTAAATGATAAATTTCGTTCATTATGCTCTTGTGCTTGCGTCAACTTTCTGAGGATAGTCCAAAAGTTGAACTAAAACAATAATTTAATCTAATTAAATGAAAGTTTGAATACTCCATGTTAGTATATCTGTGTGTGTATATGTGTGTGTGTTCTTTGAAATATGACAAACGAGAATGGGCAAATGAAAAATGATTGTTTGTCGGACTTCCGTCTAGTATGGTGTGTGGGCTGTGACAAAGCGCCAGAGACACGCTATGCCAAAAGCTTCTTTTTAGTCTTTTATGAGCGCAAATATGATTTAGTATGTAGAAGAAAAAGTTTCCGATTATTTATATGGGATTATGAAATCATACATACCCTTGACTCATTCAGCAAGTTTCCTTTTCATACTTTAATTCTATTATTAATCTTCCCCAAATTATTGCCACTTCGGGCTTACGATTTATGTGTTAAGTTAATGTTATGGGACACTTTGCTGCTTGCCACAGTCGTGTAAAGAAAGAAATTATTTGCTACCTTTTAAGCATGCATAATGCAGCAACAAAAACAATTGACTCATACCAGGAAATTAAATGTTTAATTTTTTTCTCTCTTTACTCTTTTTCATTTCAGGTGAGTATGACGGAGGGCGACATAAATGATTGGTGAAAAGTTAAGGAAATTATTTTTAAATTAGCTGAAAGAATTTACAAATGTGTCAGCAGCTACATTTTGGGCGAATGGTTATACATATTAATAGCAGGCAGCTGTTGGAGGAGGAGCATTTCGGCGCAGCTGAGGGCCGCGGAGTGCTTGGTGCCAAAGTTCCGACATTTGGGCAACGCCAAACAGCCAATCAACCGGGTTGACAAGCGCCAACAGTTCATTAGCATTTATGCGCGAAGATGAAAAGTAAAAACTAAGAGCAGACGCATACATATATACATACACATATATGTGTCTACATGTGTGCATGCGAATTTGCGCAACGGTGTCATTTTGAAATTTTTAAAATTTCTTTTATTCCCGTGCCGTGAAAACATACTTTTCGAGAATGCAAATGTGTGTTGAGAAATTCTGAGAAAACACTTAAAAGTTTACACAAGCGCATTTCTGCAGTTTATGATTTTAACGGCCGCCACACCGCCGCATAGCCACATATTATGCGTAATATCTTTGAGATTGTGCATCTGAGTGCCGAGATCTTTTTTCGTTTTTTCAACTTTTTTATTTTATTTTTATTATTTTTGATACTCGATTTTGCTATGTACACATGGTGTATTAGGTATGTTCAGCTAATGGTGATACAGTTGCGGTCAAAATCTTAGTAGTGATTTTGCTGAATATATATAAGTCATCATAAATTTGTATTACAGTCTTTTTTTCGCTTTCAACGTAAATACCGTTAGGTTAAGGCGCAGACATGACGATCTGCATTGGTTTGTTAAGCTAGAATTATTGTTGTTATTGCAATCCGCAAAGTTTTGAGGAAAAATTGTGTTTTTGATCAGTCAAATTCTTAGTAGCGCAATCAAGAATAGTTCAGAAAAATAAATTTATTTTTGTTTTTGGGATGAAAAAATTAAAAAATCGATAGAACTATTTCTGTTACCAGTATGCTGTTTTATAATGTGAAAATTTTGATCGTGCTGCATGTAGTGATGTCAAGAACAAAGAATTGTACACGGGCTCTTATTAAAAAGCTGATTGGTTGCTCCCCCACGATGGTCCGAAACGCTATAAAATACAAACCGGGTGTCGAAAAAGGCTGGCGGAAACGTGTAATGCCCGCTCAATTGGTTAAGTCTGCTGTAAAATATTCCAAAAAAAATATCCGTTTGCGGCGTACGGGAAAAAGATCTGACAGCTCGGAGCCCCAAACGATTACGTTTCGCCAAAACCATTTGACTTGGATTTTTACAAATGGTCTGACAGTCAAGAATTGTTCGCTATGGTGGAAAAGGTTCAAGGCAGTTTATAAGACGTCCACCCAACAGCCCACCTGATCCAAAATTTACCACTAAAACGGTAAAACATGGTTGATCCAGCATTATGGTTTGAGCATGCTTTTCATGGTATGGAGTTAGACTCATTCATTGGATCAAGGAGGCCATGAATGCTGCCCAATACGTGCAAATCATGCAGGAGGTCATGCTTCCATATGCTAACGAGGAAATGCCACTGACTTAGACCTTTCAACAGGACAACGATCCGAAGCATACTAGCAAGCTTGCAAAGAAGCGGCTTGGAGACAACCGAATAAATGTTATGGAATGGCCTCCACAGTCTCCTGACAATAACCCGATAGAAAATATGTGCTTGTCCGCGCTACTAAGATTATGACCGCAGCGGTATATAACGGTGGAAAATAGGCGAGTAAGATATGGAGATATAAGGGATCGTTTATATGTTCGTTGTTCGGTGGAAAAAAGATCGCACTTTTATTTCATTTTTCATACGTGTATATTTAACTTCCGTACGAATAAATTTTTCAGATTTTTCATAAATAAATGTTATCCTTTATCTTCAAAATACGCCGAAGCTTTCTCCTTGAATTCGTCATCGGTGATAAGTTTTTTTTTTAGCTCTCAGCTCCTTTATCAACTTTTTAAACAGGCACTAATCATTCGGGGCCAGGTCTGAGCAGTGGGGTGGGTTATAATAAAAACACCGAACTCCACCTTATGCAGGGCAGCCAACAAAATACGGGCTCAGCACACCTGTTTCAATTTTTCCTTCTTTTTGCCCTGTACTAGCTTCTTTTAGTCGCTCTTATATAGATTCGTAGTTTTCTTCAGTTTTAGAAACACCTTAAGCTTTGTAATCGATCAATAATATATCTTTCGAGTCTCAAAAGACCATTCTCATGAATTTCCCAGCTGACTGTGATGCCATAAATTTGCTTTAGAGTTGCTGTGTCCTTTTTAGGTCACTACATGGAATCTTATTTTGACTCAAAATGTAGATCCCAAGTTTTGTCTCCAGTAACAATTCGATTCTTTACAACCAGCCTTCTTTCATTACAATGTTTTGTTCTAGTCAACGCGTGAGGTGTTCCAGCACCCATCTTCCACCGATCTTACTCGTCATGCTGAATTTTCAAAATGGCTGTATCGGATAATCCAATTATTTCTGCGAGTTGTAGCTTTTTTAATCAAGCATCGTTGGGGATAATTTTTTCAACTTTTGCCATAAGTTATGGCGTGTTCACATCTATGCTCCAGCTAGACCTCGGCTCTTCTTCGAAGGATTGCCTTCACTGTTTAACTAAGCTACACCACCGGTACATCAGTGTTTTTTCCCAATCGCGGTACCATACACCATACAGAAAGCGGCAAATGGACAGGATTTGATAAATTGTGAAGCTTATGATTGCCATGGGGGCGATCGGGCAACAACTACGGCTAATATGCCATATAACGAATTTTTCACCATCTACAATACATTGACTCAGGCTCGAATATTTAAGGCATTAATCAACAACTCTACCAAACCTTCTAGGTTTGATACTTTTTATGGAGACTAAAGTCTCACCAAAAATGGCATATATATTTCCATAAAAATACCTACCATCCATACAACTGAGCTACTTTTTTCGACCAATCTGTGGACTCAGTAACTAAGATCTAGGGAATTTCCAAAAAAACTTAATCTATCTTAATGGTTATGATAGTTACTTTGAGTTCAAAAAATCTGCCTAAATATATGTATTGACGTGAGTTCACAAACAAGCCTGTATACCACCCATATAATTGGACTTTACTTTACTCTACTCTACGAAAACCAGTTACCTTCGCGTTCAATATAATATACAAATCAGTCGAGTATTTAATGTTCGGTTCGAGACAAACATAGATTTGCCTTTGTGTTAATTAATTGTTCTATTAGATTATTTTAATTTTCAAATTTTTTTGGGCTGAAAATATACAACAAAAGTTTGGATGGTAGAAACCGCCAGAAACCACCACGTTTTCCTCATCAGACTACTTTTTACCGACACTCTTGTGTTGGATCCGAATGGTGTGATTCAGCACAAAAAAAAAAAATAAAAAATTTTAAATTTATTTTTGTACAGAAATTATATTTTAAGTAAAAATTTATTTTAACGGATTTAAATTTTGCTGTTTTTTCTTCTATTTTAAAATTAAATAAAATAGTGTATATTTTCATAATTAATTCATATACATTTTTAATTTAATTTAATTAATTTAAGTTTTATTTACTTTTCGGTTCCACGCGAATTTGTTTATTTTTTATGTTATTTTTTCAATATATTTTTTATTTATACTTTTTGCTCGTTTTAATTTATATTATTTTGATGTATTTTTTTTTTATTTGATTATATTTGATTGAATTTAATTTAGCTTTCTTAATTTTTTTTGTTTTTTAAGAATATTTAATTTATTTTATTTAATTTTTTATTTTATTATTTTATTTTATTACTTTTTTTTTTGTTTTTAATTTAATTTAATAAATTATATTGACTTTATTGTATTTATTTTATTTAATTTTCGGTTGTATGTGTGTACTTATATAACAAACTCGTATTTACATAAATAATTATATATGCAAATGTCCTTACTTTTGCTGTAATGTTTTTTTTTAGCATATATTGTGGATATGTATACATTTATATTTGCACTTTCAGATGTACATACATATGTATGTATATAGGAGTATTATGTTGAAAATTTGCATACAATTTTTATTTAGAAAAATCGACGAAGAGTAAATCCTTTACGCGTGCTGTTGCTTATAATGTGCTTAACTGATTTGCATGTACTCGACTTATGTATGTACATATGGATATGTAGAGAGATTTAATATAAATATCTCTTTTAAAAATATTAAAAAAAAAAACGAAAAAGTTTTTTTCAGGAAGTCGAAATAATCATGAATTCATAACATAACTAATACATACACATATGTATATTTTAAATACAAAAATCCAAGCGAACCCGACGTCTTCAAATACATAAACATACAAACACACTTACATATATTTACATACACATGCAAGTGCTTGCTGGGGACGATTTCGAAAATAAGTGGCAACTTTCGCCAAAATTACAATGTTTTATAAATTTCGGAAATCTCTCCGTAAAACAAAAAATTGAAATTTTTTTACGCTTTTCATTTTCCCAATTTTTTAAATTTTCAATTGAATTTTACCACTTGAAATTTTGTTTTACAACTTTTATTGAATTATCCGAACATAGCAAGTATTGAAAACTAACTACTTTCAAAATGATAAGCGAGACGAAATTCGCCTTTCATGCAGTTCGTGGATCAATTTGTGCGTCGAAGTAGGCTACACCAGTTCGTTACTTGAACGAAAGCGTGCTCGAGCAGCAAACAACATCAACTCGAAAACTTTCGCAGGTATTAAAAATTTCGAGCACCTCTTCATGCATGATCTGGTATGAAGACTGCGATACGAAGACTTATATAGTCGAATTGTGGCTAGAACTAAGAACGCTTGACCGTTCGCGGGGATTTCGATTCGCTCAAAGAACCTAAGATCAGCTGGCAAAAGATAACAAGCAAGCAAAACTGAGGTAACCATGAGAAATCCTTAAGCAGCGGCTGTAGATAACTGTAGCAACTCACCAAACGCAATGACCAAGCTGTGCTCTTTGAACTTAGGAGGGATACCAGGACACGGTGGCATATAAAATAGGCGGCCGTCAAGCTAGCAAGAAATGGCGCTTGCCTTCCAATTTCGCCATTATGACAGAGTCTAGGCTTGCTGCTCTCGACTTGTAGGCTCATCATACGATGGTCTTTAATTATTGATGCGAACTATCAAAAGATTTCTGTAGAAGTTGCCAGAGGATCGTCAGTAACAATCCGTTCCGTTGATGCCCGGCAGCCATATTAACGCAATCTGGCCAAACAACGGACCTGTAAATGCTTAAATGAAACGTTGTTCCCACATGGATCGTATCCAACTCTAGATGACTACTTTCTAATAGCATAGGATAACCAAACAACTACTTATTGGGTTCTTTTATGCTGGCGTCCAACGATGTGTAGGTCTTCCTCTTCCTCTGCTTCCATCGGAGGGTATTGCATCGAAAACTTTTAAAGCTGCGTTGTTCTCATCAATCCAGACCACTTGACCAGCCAGCATAGCCGCTATCTCTTGTGATTCACTGATTGGCTTTCGTTCGTTGAGAGGACTTTACTTTTCAATAGCGTCCTCAGTCCAAAGTGGCGCCTGTTGGCTAGAGTGATTCATATCCTTCGCTTTCTCAACCAGCCTGGCGAAGACAGAACTCACGGTGCGGTTGTTGAGGCCAATAATGTCCATATCAGCGCCATTCGCCAGCTGCGTTACACTCGATTCAGCTCAGCAGTTCGTATTATTTTCTCCAGTAATAATAGCTAAAAAGTCACAGCTGGTCTGAAAATTAGTTTGGTATTGAACCGTTCGGAGGGGTCTTTTCCGATACTGACGTAGCTTTTGGTGTTGCGTAGAGTAAGTTTACATAGCCTTATAGTGGCGTAGAAGCAACTCGTTTGCGCGCTACCGAAGACTGCTTTACAAACGACAAAAGGTTGGTGTGCGACGATAATCTTTTCTTAGGCCTTTTCCAAAATCCGGCGCATGGTAAATATCTGGTCAATGGCTGACTTACCAGGTCTAGTACTGGACTGATAGGTTCCAAACAGTTTGTTGACGGTGGACTTCAGTCTTTCAAACTATACGCTCGAGCAGATTTAGGTTACAATCTGTCCCTTGATCTGCTTTCATCTAATCATATTCTGCAAATAAGCTGATGCATGCCAGTTCTTCACTGCCGTATTTGAATGGCGGGTAATGCATTGGCGCCCGTCGTTTCGTTGCTTCTCAAGCAGGCGATTGCTGTTCGAACTTCTTCTCATTGTCGGGCAATGAAACATCTGTTCTATCGCCATAGACTGGGGAAGAGGAATCGGCTTCGCCTTTGTGTGGCATTTTCACTGCCATTTTGCTGTCCGACGGTGTGTTTCCTTCATAAATTTATAGTACTCTGGGCTCTGGATTAATCATAGATCTACTCAGCCCTCTCATATAAGTAATTACTACAAAAACACCCTGTATGTATGCATAATTATCTTAAAAGCATGCGAACAGGGCAACTCTTTCGAAACCACACCCACTGAGACTGCAAATAACATCAGGTCCAAATAATTACAAGTAATAGCAACGCAAATTTAGCCACAAACATACAGACGAAGCAAAAGAAAAAGAAATAAAATAATACAAAACAAAAGAATTTCAGTACAGAACGAGGAAAAAGAAAAAAAAAGTATCTAAAAAAAATATCATATGACGAAAATAATGAAAGTGAAGTGGAAATGGTAATAAAATAATGTAAACGAGACTAAAGAGAGTGAGCCGAATGAGCGAGTAAAAGTTGTAATGGCACTTGGGAACCAAAAACTCGAGAATCTTAAACAAAGGAAAAATAAAACGAAAACCAACAA